TTCAGAAACTGTCCAGGTCTCCTTGACCCTGTAAGCCCCAAATTAAATTAGGTGCCCACTGCTGTTCTTAGATCCTGCTCTCTCACTCTGCAGTGTTTGTGGCAATTTACAACTGCACCTTTATGTGTGTGATTCCTTACTGTGTGTCCTATACTAAATTACAAGTTGCATGGAGGAGTCTGGGCCACATCCATCTGGTTTACAGATGGGAACCAAAACAGGGGAATTGGGTGGCACTTTCTTTTCCCCTCGAACTCTTGGGACACATGCTGAGCTATTCCTTCACGGAGGTTCTGGCCAGAGAACAGCAGGTGAGTGTTCATAACTAACATGAAGGAGTAGGCAGCTCACGGGTCTGCAGGCACTGTCACAGGACTTGATCCGCCCCTGTCTCTGGGGCCGTCACTGGGACCCTGGGAACACTTTAAGCAACGGGCCCAAGGCTGACTTCTATCATCCTAATGGAGAATTTTCCCTGGATGGGGTGAGGTGGTGGTGGTGGTGGTGGTGGTGGTGGTGGGATGGGCCATTTGCAGATAGCAGTTTGGAGGAAAGAAATCAAGGTAGAGAATAGAACCTATGTTGGAAATAGTCTAAGGGAGGGGAGTGATGGGTGAAAAGCCTGTCTTAATCCTTGAGAGGACTTCACGACACCCTCCCTTGGAATAACCACACGCCATTCCTAAGGAACTGGAGTCTGGGGAAGGGATGACTTTCAGAGACCCGAAGTGTGGCTGGAAACACCCGCAAACTTTGTCGACTCAGTTCCGGCCTTGAACTGGCAAACAACTTGCTTCATCAACACAACTAGGCATAGGTAAGAACATCAGCAGAGAACAAACAGCTCATCACACACAGGCCCGAGAAGTACTTACGAAGAGAGGGCACTCAAGAATGACATTTTGCAGTGTTTTCTGGAGGTAGGTTGAGAATACCAAAGACCAAAGTAATGAGGGAGCTGTCTCATGCACAGACAAGCGGCAGCATCCAAAGACCTTAATATTTCCCCAATTAGAGGGCATCTCAAGCTTGTTGAAAGAAAGTATCTTTCTTGATAAAAATTGCTGGTGCAGCTAAGGCAAGCAAGCATGTGTTCTGTGAGGCCTTAGACAGTGTGAGTAGATAGCTATTTAAATGTAGGATCCACTGCTCCCAGGCAGCACCCGTATGGGCTGGGCCTGCACCAGGAAGGTGATGATAGGACACCAAACATCCCTTTTTTTACTCTAACTACGAAGAAAACTTATTTCTTTCCCTGTGGTTAAAGATAATTAGGTTGGGAACAGCTACATTTTCTGCAGCATGAAGGGAGTGTAACTTTATGACCCTGATCCTCAGCCCTACCACTTCATAACCGGGTGGCCTTTTGAGTTATGTAACCTAATGATGTGTCGCTTCCCTTAGAGGTAAGAGAGGGGAAGCTGGGAGTACTCTCAGCCACTACACAGAGCACACAGAAACAAAAAGAGCAAAGCAAAAGGCAAGGATGTACGTTCATAAATAAAAAGTGCCTAGCTCATGATGAGCACTCTCAACAAATGCTAGACGACCTAGTTTATGCAGAAATTTAGAGTGTTTTGCAATTTTCAAGTGATCTGCATATGTGAATACTTCATCCTAATTAAAACTGTTTTCCATGAGTTTTTCATATTTCAGCAACTATCTGGCTCTTTGCCTTTCTTCTCAAGGTAAGCGCTTTTCTACAGGAGCCAAGAGGGTCTTGGTTTTGCCTTCAGAGAAGACACAGAGCATGCCCCCCCAGAGCAGAGGCGAAGGAAGGAGAGGTTCCCTCCAGGGACACAGGCTCTGCTGGTGCTCTGTCCTGGGCCTTTTGTGGATCCCCTGGTTCTTGGCTGTCTTGGTTCTCTGGATTTCTGACTACTGGTGTACTTGACTCTGGGTGGTTGACTCTTCCTGGCTGGGTATCACTGGTGCCTGGCCTCCGGGCTATGTTAGAATTCTAATCCTTTTTAGGTGTGTGTGCCCTGCTTCCAAGTCATCCCTAAGGCCCAGCTAGCACTGGTTTCTTACCTGTCCTGGGCCAGCTCACTCAAGCTGTGCAATCCCCGAGCCCTCTCCTTGGTGGCACAACCCAGGCTCGGACATGACTCACTGATTACATGCACTGCCAAGACTTCACCCTTTCCCTTTGCTTATATGGAAGGGACCCCAAGCGGCGAGCCTGGGTGATGAGTGAGAAGTTCCGTGATACGTAAAGCAAGGCACAGACTCAGGGAGATGTACAAAGTGCGCACAAGGTCAAAACAAAGCAAGCCGTTCCTCAGGAGGCCAAAGACCATGAAGGAAGTATTAGCAGCAGCTGGAGGAAAGAGACGGATTGCTCTCAAATGTAGGTAATTTAATCAAAACGATGGAAGTCACATAACAGAAACTGTATCTTTAAAGGGTAAGAGGAAATTAATTTCAAACCACAATTTAATATCCAGTGAAGACAGCCTTAAAAAGTGGTGAGACAGACATGTTTCGACAAATAACTGAGATAATTTGTCATCGTGAAACCCATCTACGTAGACACTCGACGCCATTACTCATTGACTGGGATTTCTAGAACAATCATAAAAGTTTACGCATAAGTTCCTTTCCTTTTTTGTTTCTGACTTTTACGTGGAATGTGTTTTTTACCACCAACTATAGAATTGACATGACTTACAGAAAAATAACTGTTGTGTAGTTAAATATCTATCCATAATTTACTAAGACGCTGAATATCAAATGCACACCCACTCCTTCCTAGAGTGGATTTTGAAAATATGCCATTTTAAGTGACTTTGCGTTACATATGAATTCCCTATCCCTTCAACAAGGATTTTCTTAAGTCAATGTATTTGATGGCATGTTTCCAAGGCCTCACGCTTGTTAAGAAACTAGAGAACATTAAGATACTTCAATAGTTCTTTATAATTTTTATGCCCTGGAGAAATATATTATTAACATTATGGTAAATAACTGCTAATAGTTTAATGTCAAGTACTCATTTCATATGTGATATTGGAGAAATGCAGGTAGAATTTGGCAATCACGGGTTTCAGTCAACAAAAAGCAATACTTTCATACAATGCCTTAATACTAATGGGATAGTCTGACAGTCTCCAGAACAACTTTATGTCAGGCACTTGTCGTACTGTGGAGAACCAGGAAGAGAGAGGTAACTATTAAGTCCTTCAAAAGCCACTTGGGTCAAAAGATGCACAGAAAAAGTTAGCTGATTTGAGGAGCAACCAAATCAGGTGAGGCAACACACTGACATTGGTGCAAGTCTTACATTTCTACCTCCCTCCTTCTGCAGACTTGATAAATACCCTCAGATGGGCTCTTACTCGGTTCTGTATTAACAAAGGAGTTTTTCTGATGAAACATTACAACCAGGATACACGTCCTTTGCCTAATGAAGGAGATAAAAGTGCTATGTGCACAAGACACTGTTAGAGAGACTCCCGAGAAACCAGAATATTTTTAGGTGTCCTGAAGATCTGGTCTTCAATCACTAAATGTCCTTTGTAAACCAAGTATCTTCAAACCACGGAAACTACTGGAAAATGCCACATGATATGAAACAGTGATTGTACAGTGCCGTTCACTAAACCATCCTTTCTGTGTTTGGTATTCTTGTTCCATGTGTGATGTCAGTCGGTTCTTCAGACCAAAACCCCAGAGTGTGCATTACCCCCATTTCACGGGTAAGGAATCTGAGGTAGAAATGGAGCAAAATGAGGTAACACAACTTCTTAGTGGTGGAGCTGGGATCTGAATTGAACTCTACATAATCTGAAATCCTTTGCTTTGCTGGGGATAGACTTAGGTCAGAAAGCGTCCATATGAGGCCAAGGAGGTTTGCCTTTTATCCTGTGGAAGAGGAGAGGGTGCACAACATGAAGCAGAGGACTTAATACACATATTTTTTTATTATAAAACTCGGTTATCGTGTGCAAATTTGTTTTTAAAAATCAGTAACACCATCCAAAGCACGGCAAATTTAGCATCCAACTATTATATTCAAAGAAAGAGGAACCTCAGTGGCTAAGAACGGATCACTGTTTGCAGAGCGGAGACAATCCATATGTCTTGATAAGGCAATTCTCTTCAAGGCAAAGCGGGTGTCTTCCAGACCTCCTTTCTCTCCGATAGCTCACTGAACTCCAAGTGAGGGGAGTATTGGGTGGAAGAACCCTAATACGTAGTCATTAGCATGTTCTTAAAAGTGCTGAGGCTGTTTCAGTGAAGAGGAATTAAGAAGAGACGATTGTATCACATCTCAGGGGCTGTCATCAATACCAAATGCTTCCAAAGGAGGTGCAGTGGATGGGTAAATGCTAGCTGCCTGGTAGACGAACACCGTGTAGCAGCCACTAATCCCTGCATGTCCCCAACAGAGCAACTTTCTTGGCAGGAGTGATCCCGGTCTAAACTGGCATTATTATTATTCCTCTGTGAAATCGAAACTGGATTATTATTCCTCTGTGAAATCGACGGGTTGTTAGTGGGATGCCATCACTAAGAGGCACTGGGGCAACGAGGCTGATGTACGAGAATAAGAAAGACCACGTGTACCTTGGCCAACCGCCAGTATTTTCCTTTGTACAAAAAAATAAGAGTTTCGCCTTGGTCGTAACAGCAGAAGTAAGAACAACGTACGTGAGATCAAATTTACCCTAGAGGAAAGTGCACACTGATCTAGAGCTAAATCTTTGGGAGAAGCATGAGAGCACTTTGTGTTCTTCATGCAAAACGGCTTAAGGATTAGAAAACAGGCATATTTTGGAAGAGGAAATATCAAATCCAACAAGTGATCATTTCATAGAGACCTTTCGTTTACTGCACACAAAGGCACTAATGTTTCCCTTACAATATATAAATGCCATTTTACAGTGTGAGTGCTGTTTGGCTTTTTAAAAAACAGGTCAGGGTCACACTTATGTCTTGCATTCGTTAAAGGATAATTAAGAAAAAAAAAAGGTAAAATCAAACTCCCATACACAATGTGAACTGATGTCAAGGATTTTATTCAACTCAATTAACTGGTGAGGGATCCAGTAAGATGTTACAACCAGCCTGAGGGACAACGGAAGAGAACAGACCCATACGCTGGTGATCAATAATGCTGAAATGAACTTGCTGAATATATAAAACTGATCAACAGCCAGAGGCAACCATCAACGGACGACCAACACTGGGCACATTCGCATTCATTACCATGACTTTGCTACCACTCCCAGTTGGAAGTTAGCTCCACGACAATCAGTGAAACATCAGCAGGCAGGGTGCACCCAGGGAATGTGTTCTTCCAATATTCCAATGCCTTTCTCAACGTTCCCACTACAAAAGGCCGAGCAAATCCAGTAAAAGGAATTCACTGCCAAAGTGTAATGTTGTCGGGTAAATGATCCCAGAAATGTGTTAATAAGGCTCTCGGTCACACTAGGTATGTATTCTGGATTCAAATTATATTTGCATCAAAGGCTGTGTTAGAAATATATGTCTGTTTTTAGAGGAGGGGGATGGTTTTTTGTGAGGTGGAAACCACATCCTCAAATGTGGACATGCACGCAGATATAAGTAAGATACAGGCCACAGTTATCTTCATACTGAAAACAAACTGCCGATGGCACGGTTCAGAGTGGCCCTCTGAGTGGAGGTCCACAGAGAGGTTTCGAGGGCACAGAAAGATGGTCCATTTTGCTAATAAGGAGAATGATTTCTCAGGGCTCGTCCATGACACGGCGTTTCCACTGATTGCAAATGAAATGCAGCTATGATCTGACTCCTATCAGCTGCTATGACACATTAACACCAACACTTAAAAAAGTGAAGTTGTATAGGAAGTATACAAATATAATCTATGTGTACATACATATATATACATACATATGTAAGTATATAGATATATGTACACATATTTAACTTTTTCTAGCCAGGGTTTAGAAAAACTGAAAAGGAAAAGAAATGAACACAAACAGAACTTAATTTTGTCTTGGGAAAGGAAGTATTTTACATATATATGCATAAGTATGTATAAATACACAGGCACATACGTACACACATGCACGAGCACTCACACACAAGCACGTGTATGTGTATTTGCCACATATGACTATTACGTGACTATTCAAATGCAGTAACACCGAATGATCATTCCCATATGATTATGCAAATGAGCGTTTCGGTCTCTGTTCTGGGCTGTGTCTGCTTTACTGTCTCTCAGCTGGGATGTTGAGGTTTCAGCACTCGTCAGGGGAGGCCGAGCCCACATGGGCTAGAAGTCCGACCTCACGGGCTGGAAGGACCGCTCAGGTGCCATGGGTCACCCGTGGTGCCCAGGGAGGCATGGCGGGCCGCTCACTCGAAGGGCGGCAAACCGAACAGCTCGGGCTGGAAGTCCTGCAGGGAATCCAGCACCAGGGTGGCCTTGGACGTCAGGTGTCGGCGCAAGTTCCTATCTGGAACCATGACCACCTGCATGCCGGCTGCAAGGGCCGCCTCCACGCCGTTGGGAGCGTCTTCAAACACGAGGCACTGTAGGGTGAGGAAGAAAGACAAGGTTGAGACGGCCTTTCCCGTAAGCCGGCAGCTAGACTGCGTTTTCATGATTTTTATTATTGACCTGCTCAGCGTGTTGCTACGGTGTACACGGACACAGAGATGAAGGGGAGGCTTTCCAGTCCGTGAACCGCGGTGAGGCCAGCATGCCGGGTCTTACCCACAGGCCCACAGGCCTCCCGCAGCCGTGACTTCGCAGGGGACCGCGTTCCGTCCCTGCTGCCGAGGCGCTAGCGACACGTGGTGCAGCTGGACGGCAAGACGGGATGCTGGGTTTATGTTTTCTTGGAATCATACAGATCTGTGCCATCGACAGTTGAACATTCAGAGCACGAGAGTAAAGTGTGTGTTTTGGGGGGGAAACACGTGTTTTAAACATGAAGTCCCTCCAGAGCTGAAATGTTTCAGGAACTGCAGTGTGGAAAGTGAGTGGTTAAGGTATCTGAACGAAAGCCTGGGCCTCTGTGTGTGCACAAGGCATGCAACGAAAATCTCCAGCACCAAGACCAGCTGCCAGGAGCGGCATCTCCTCTGGCTTACTGGGCAAACCCGCCCTGTTATCAGGACGACTGCCACCCCGTCAGACACCCACCTTTAAAACGGGGTCTCTGTGCACCGTGTTGATCAGGCAGCTCCTAAACGTGCGATCCCGTGAACAACGCCCCGGGACTCTCAAAACGACAGATCCTAAGTCTACGAATGGGCAGATCAGCTAGTCATCCGACATCACTCTCTATGCAGGAAGACACGTACCTAGAAAGCTCCCTCATTTCTGAAACAGCTTCATTAATTCTCTTCAGTGAAGATTCTACTCTGTAGGGGCCAGACATGTGTAAAGGGGGCTCCAGTCACGGCTGTGAGATGCTCCCCCACTGTTCCCACTGTTGTCCTCAGCTGACCTCCAGCTGCCAGGAGGTGCCGAGGTCACACCTTTGCACCTGCCCAACCCCTTGTCCCCCTCCTCTTATCACGAGAACTCTGTCCCCCGTGGGTAGCGGCAGCTCACTGTGCTGGTGACCCAGCGAGGCTCAGGGACACTGCTCTGGGTGCAGCAAGACACTGCAAGTTCTGCATTCTTTGGTGCCTCTAGGTCCCTGGAAAATAGCTATACATTCACACTCAATCACACAAACACACATGCACAGACTCTTACACTCACACACACAGGAACTGGCACTCAGGCACACGTGCACAAACTCACACACACTCAGGCACCCACACTCACAGACGTGCACGCTCACTCAGACTCAGAAACCCGCACTCAGATACACATGTGCACACTCACTGACACTCATGTACATTCAAACCAGGCCTTTCCTGGTGGAGTGTTCTGGAGCAGGCACACTGACTCTTTCCTTTTCCCTTCCCCCTCCTTCCCTCCGGCCTGGGACTAAGAGATGTGAGCCGCCTCCCCTATGAGGCAGAAGTAAGGACCCAGTGAAGCCCTACCCATCATCACGACACCTCAGGGTCAGCACGAGGCTACGCTCACAGAGCAAGCTGAGGTGAGGGCTCAGGGAGGCCC